GATGGGCTGTTGCAAACTGGGCCCCTTCCGTTTCAGGAGAGTTTTACGGTCCCCATCCTACATTTAGATCAGTGAGACAGGCTCCCACGCTGAGATCAGGAACATCACACAGCCCTTCTGTGCCTCAGTTAATACTTTTGCAAAAATGAGGTGACAGTGGGTTCAATGTGTTGGGAAAGTGATGCCAATGTATCCGGAAACAAAACACAAGTCCCGTATTTTCACCCTGCCTGACAAACCATCCAGGTGTACTCAGCTGTCCTGAAACGGAGACAAGCTGGCACTGCAGCTGACGTGAGTCACTGCTGGTAAGAGGTCTGCAGAGGTTTGATCTCTGCACATCTAACAGCTAAAAATGGACAGAGGTTTTAAAAGCACGAGTTGTACTTTGCTGGGCTTGCCTTTGTGGTGGTTGGGAAGTGCTGGTCCTGCACAGCTCCCCTGCTTGCCTGTGTGTCTCCTGGGGCTTCATGCTTGGTGCTGCAGGGATGGGTGATTAAAGATAGGTTCTGCTGCAGAATGTTCATAACAGAGACAGACAAGTGGGAGAAAAGAGAAGACACACTCCTACGTGAGAAAAGAATAAGGATGTCCTTCTTGGACATCTTCCTGCCACCCAAAAGCAGGTTGATACTTGTTAGGAATAGAAATGGAAGGACCTAGGCAAAGAGATAGGGTTCAAATCTCTTGCCTTGGTGAAACAGTTAAACTGATAATGGATTTCAGGGTTTTAACTGATGTTCTGCCCAAGGTTATTGAGCCTTTAGTAAAGGAGCAAATTTAATACTGAATTGTTCCCAGTGTGATTTGGCAGCATCACGTGGCACATTGGTGATGAGTTGCTGCAGCATTTTCAAAGGAAGTTCAGAAAGAAAAGATAGTTTTTTGTGTGCTCCTTCTGCAGTAAGCAGCAAGAAACCTCCTCTTTGTCCACTGCTATGAGGAGCAAGTTTTATCCTTTCTAGAGTGCCTCTCATTGAGGTGATCTTTGTGTTAAATTTTCTGTGCTGAGAAATGTTATTTTGAGAGAGGAGATTTTGTTACACAGCAGGTAGACTCCCAGAATTCTTCACTTGTTTCTTGTCAGGTGTCTTCTGCCCTCCAAATTAAATTGAGAGCAAAAAGAAAGGCATTAACATCTGCAGTTCAGAACGTGCCCTTTGCAAACATCATCCCATTTCAGAAGCCTTGTCTTGTCCTCTCACAGCCTTGAGTTCATAAGAATGATTTAGACATCTGCAGCCCCACACTGGTGCCCACCCCGGCCCACATGCTCGGGGGGGGCTCCCTCTTAGCCCTGCCATGCCCACAGCCCCAGAGCCTGCCCCACACCAGCCTAGCCCTGCCCCACATATCCCCATGACCCCCAGCTCTGCCCTGCACAATGCATTGGGGTGAGCAGCACCCTCATCCCTGCCTGCCCCATGGCGCCTGCTACAGGCCCCACGGCACCCACCCCGCAGCCCCCTGGACCCACTACCTCACCCATGGCACCCACCCCCTTGTCCTACAGCACGCACCCCTTAGCCCTACAGCACCCACCCCCTTGCCTACCCTACAGCATCCACCGGCTGCCCCACGGCGCACATCCCCCTGCCCCATGGCACCCGCCCCCTTCTCCTACAGCACCCGCTGCCTGCCCCACAGCATCCCCTGCCTGCCCCACAGCACCCACCCCTTTACCCTACAGCCCCCACTGCCTGCCCCATGGCACACATCCTGCCCTATAGCACCCTACCCCTCCCCTGCCAGCCCCACACCCCCCACCCCTACACACACACCCCCATCCCCACACCAGCCCCACTGCGGCCGCTCCGTGATTCAGGCCCGGACCCAGCCCCGCCCCGGCCGCCATTATGGGACCGGCTCTGAGGTGCTGGAAGGGGGGGGGGATGTGCATACAGACAGCGCCCCACATCTCCCCATAGCGCCCCACAGCCCCTGCCCATCGCCAGCCCCATAGCGGACACTCACCCCACACGCAGTCCCCAGCGCGCTGCGGCCCCCGGCGCATCCCGAGAGCGGCAGGGATGGGCAGGGGAGGCCGGGACGTACCATGGAGGAGACGGAGGGGGAACACTCGCTTTGTCCCCTCACTTACTACATGGGATCTCCCCCTCCGTGACCCACAACTTGGGGGAGAGACGCGACGCTTTGCGTCGCGTCTCTCCCCCAAGTTGTGGGTCACGGAGGGGGGGAGATCCCGTGGAAAGTGTGGGGCGAGAAGCGCACCCCCCCCCTTGCACACAAATGGTCGCGCCCAGTGCCTCCGCAGCCCCACCGCATCCCGCGGTACCCGCCCGTCGCCACGGCAACAGCATCCCCCAAAAGATGGGATGCGGGGAGAGGGATGGAGACGGGATGGGGAGGAGATGATGGGGGGTGAAGGCGGATGCGGTGGAACTGGTCATGGCTGCAATGGGGGGGACATAGTGGAGCCAGCGGGGTCCCAATATGTGACCCCCGCAATGGGTCCCGCTCTGCTCCTGCACTCAGGTTATGAGACCTTCCCCTTGTCCTCATTGGATCCATCAGATCCCATTATCCTGCTCTACCCAGGTCACCCCGCACCCCCTTCCCGAGTGCAGCCCCTCAGGTTGTTGCCACCCCCAGACTCCTTCAGTTTCATTCTATCCTTTGAACATCACACGCTTGATCCCAACATCCAGAGGATGCTGATGGAGCAGGGACAGAGAAGGGAATGGAGCTGGAGCAGGGCCTGGAGCCCAGGGGTGATGGGGAAGGGCTGAGGGAGCTGGGGGGTTCAGATGGAGAAGAGAAGGCTCAGGGGGGACCTGATGGCTGCCTCCAAGTGCCTGAGAGGAGGATGGAGCCAGGAGGGGCTGGGCTCTGCTCCCAAGGAACAAGGGATGGGACAAGAGGAACCGGCCTCAAGCTGCACCAGGGCAGGTTTAGATGGAGCTGAGGAGCAATTCCTGCCCCAGAGGGTGCTCAGGCATTGGAACAGGCTGCCCAGGGCAGGGCTGCAGGCACCGGCCCTGCAAGGGTTCACACCCTGTGGAGACGAGGCCTCAGTGCCATGGGGCAGTGGTGGCTGTGGGGCAGTGCTGGGAGCAGTTGCCCTGGATGACCTTGAAGCTCTTTCCCACCCGCTGGTTCTGTGGCTCCGCATGGAATCAGTGGGGAACCTCCCAGTGCCCCAAGAGGAACACCAGCTCCTGCACACACCAATGGTCCCTGAACCAGCACCTGATGGAAAAGTGCCTGCTAGCAGCAGTAGCACCAGGAGCAGCAGTGACATCAGGAGCACCAGCAGCTTCCTTCTAATCATAGATCATGGAATGGTTTGGGTTGGAAAGGAGCTTAAAGCTCCTCCAGCTCCAGCCCCTGCCACGGGCAGGGACCCCTTCCACTGGAAGGGCTTCAGCACCCTCACAGGGAAGAATTCCCTCCTTATACCCAATCTAAGCTTCCCCTGTTTCAGTTTGAACCCATCACCCCTTGTCCTGTCACTGCAGTCCCTAATGAAGAGTCCATCCCCAGCATCCCTATAGGCCCCCTTCAGACACTGGAAGCTGCTCTGAGGTCTCCACACAGCTTCTCTTCTCCAGGCTGAACAGTCCCAATGTTCTCAGCCTGGCTCCATGCAGGAGCTGCTCCAGCCCCTGAGCATCCTCGTGGCCTCCTCTGGACTTGTTCCAACAGCTCCATGTCCTTTTTATGTTGAGGACACCAGAACTGCACACAGTGCTCCAGGTGAGGTCTCACGATAGCCGAATAAAGGGTCAGGATCACCTCCTTCGCCCTGCTGGTCACGCTCCTTTTGATGCAGCCCAGGATACGGTTGCTTTCTGGGCTGCGAGTGCACGCTGAAGCCGGCTCATGTTCATTTTCTCATCGACCAGCACCCCCAAGTCCTTCTCCTCAGGGCTGCTCTGAATCTCTTCTCTGCCCAACCTGTAGCTGTGTCTGGGATTGCTCCGACCCAGGTGTAGGACCTTGCACTTGGCATGGTTAAACTCCACAAGGTTGGCATCAGCCAGGGACCTCACAAGCGTGTCAAGGTCCCTCTGGATGGCATTCCTTCCCTCCAGCGGATCAACCGAACCACACAGCTTGGTGTCGTCGGCAAAGACTGTGAATGAGTTCGGGTCCAACACTGACCCCTGAGGGACACCAACACCACTTCCCTTCCCTTCCCCTTCCCTTCCCTTCCCTTCCCTTCCCTTCCCTTCCCTTCCCTTCCCTTCCCTTCCCTTCCCTTCCCTCCCCCTTCCCTCTCACTCCGGTGCACGTGGGGCTCCTGCAGCCCCCCCACCCCACCGCTGGTGCCTGTACCCGAGGCAGCGCCGGCTCCAGCACCCGCAGTACAGGGGCTCCTCCTGCAGCACCCCCGGCAGAGCCCCCCAGGGCTGCACTGGGACAGAGCCGGGTGCTGCAGGGCCGGGCCAGGCTGTTCAGGAGCTGCAGCGCCCGTGATGCTGGGGGTGACTGCACCGGGGACCGTGCCCTGCCCCGGCTCCCCACGGGATGCTCCTGGGCTGCGGCTGGAGCAGGGCTGGGAAGCAGCAGCAGGGCCCTGTTGACGCATCGGCATCAGGACATCAGGGATGAGACACTTTATTAGCACGAGGAAAACACTCCTGAGAATCCAGGGCCCGGGGCTGGAGCCACCGGCCCCAAGTCTGAGTGGGAATCCCCCACTGGAGGCACCGGTGCTGCCATCCCCTTCCCGCTGCCACCAGACCGGCCTGGCAGCTGCTGGGAGATTCCTGATCCCGATGGAGGCTCCTGATAGTGATGGAGGTTCCGGATCCCAATGGAGGCTCCTGATAGTGATGGAGGTTCCGGATCCCAATGGAGGCTCCTGATAGTGATGGAGGTTCCGGATCCCAATGGAGGCTCCTGGTAGTGATGGAGGCCGTGGACCCACATGGCCAGGTCCGGAGCACCATGAGCTCCAGCTCAGTGTGGGCAGGCTCAGCCCAGCACCGGGCCCGGATCCATCCCAGTGCCGGATCCATCCTGGTGCTGGATCCATCCCGGTGCCGGATCCATCCTGGTGCTACCCACCTGCTACGTGCCCGCTGTGGGAGCCGCTGCGGGGTCGGGGGGGGCTGCGGGAAGTGCTGGGTCTTGGGATGCTGCATCGGCCGCCCGGCGCTGCAGGATGCCCGGCATCAGCGCCACGTAGGAGCGCATGAGGCGGTGGTTGGAGTGCACCAGCTTGGAGGCACAGCTGTCAAGGCAGGATTCCTGCAGGACGGTGACCCGGGATCAGCAGAGTGAGGAACAAGAGGGAAACAAGAACCACGGGATCCGGGAATCAAGAACCAAGGGACCTGGGGATCAGGGATGGAGGCACAGGGGACCAGGGCATCTAGGAGCAGGGTATCCAGCATCAAGGACCGGGGGCTCAGGACCAGCGGTCCATGGGAATGAGGATCAGGGGGTCAGGGACCTGGGACTAGAGGATGAAGACAGAGGGAATGGAGGAGCAGGGAACACGGAGCAGGACCAGGGGCTCGAGGACCGGGGAAAGGAATGAGGGGATGGGGAATGAGGGGATCTGGGCCGAAGGACCGGGAACAGGGCCCGGGCACCGCGCACGGGGGGATCCCGGGTCCCGCCGCACCTCGCGCCCGGTGAGCAGCCGGTAGTTGAGGTTACAGACACAGCGCCGGAAGCACAGCTCGGTCATGCGGTTGTACACCAGCAGGAAGTCCCGCAGCTGCAACACACCGGCACCGGCACATCACAGCCCCCGGTACCGGCACCGGCACGGAGACATCACCCACCGCGGCACCGGGACATCATCACCCCCAGTACCGGTACCGGCACCGAGACATCACCCACCGCGGCACCGGGACATCATCACCCCCAGTACCGGTACCGGCTCCGGGGCATCACCCCTGCGGTCCCGGGACATCATCACCCCCGGTACCGGCCCCGGGACATCACCCCTGCGGTCCCGGGACATCATCACTCCCGGTACCGGCCCCGGGACATCACCCCTGCGGTCCCGGGCCCGCATCACCCCCCGCTCCCCGCTCACGCTGCGCAGCTGCTGCCGCTGCTCCTCCGCCACCGCCTCCATGGCCCGCCCCCAGCCCCGCTTCCGCCCGGCGTCACCTCCGGCCCGGCTCCCGGCGGCCTCCGGCGCCCGTGACGCCACGTCCGGCGTGTCCCGGCGAGCGGAGCGGCGGCGGCCGCGGCCGAGAAGGTTGGGGGGGAGCCGGGCACGGGCGCGGGCAGGGGCAGGGGCACGGGCACGGGCAGGGGCACGGGCAGGGGCACGGGCACCGGTACCCGCAGCCCGGGGCCGCAGCGGTGCCTGCGCGGGGGGAGCGCCGGGCCCCGCTTCCATCCGGGGCAGGAGCGGGCCGGTGGGGATCCGGGCGCGGAGCGCGGCCTGAGCGGGGCGGGGCGGCGGGGCCGGGAGCGGGGGGCACCGGGGCCGCCTCGGAGCGATGGGGCCGCCCCGCGGTGTCCCTCGGCCGTGGTCCCGGCCCAGCGGGTACCGGAGCGGGCGGGGAGGCCCTGCGGGAGCTCTGGAATGCGGCCGGACCGGTCCGGGCACTGCGCGGCCCCGCTGCCCCCCCGGGCCCGGCTGCGGACGTGGCTCTGGGCTTAGATCCGAGGGGCCCGGAGCCAGCCCTGACCCGGGGCAGCTCCATCGCCGGCGGCAGCGCGGGGCGGGGGGAGCCCGGACATGGAGCGCTCCGGGAGGGGCGGCTCCGGGGGCTGCAGCCGGGACCCCGAGTCCTGGAGCTGCTGGAGCGGGTCCAGAGGAGGGCACGGAGCTGCTGTGAGGGCTGGAGCAGCTCTGCTCTGGAGCCAGGCTGAGAGAGCTGGGCTGGGGCAGCCTGGAGAAGAGAAGGCTCCTGAAGGGGAGACCTGAGAGCAGCTCCAGTGCCTAAAGGGGCTGCAGGAAAGCTGGAGAGGGGCTTGGGACAAGGGCCTGTAGGGCCAGGCCAAGGGGAATGGCTTGAACCTGCCCGAGGGGAGACTGAGCTGAGCTCTTAGGCAGAAGCTCTTCCCTGTGAGGGTGCTGAGGCGCTGGCACAGGGTGCCCAGAGAAGCTGTGGCTGCCCCATCCCTGGCAGTGCTCAAGGCCAGGTTGGACACAGGGGCTTGGAGCAAGCTGCTCCAGTGGAAGGGGTCCCTGCCCGTGGCAGGGGTTGGGGCTGGAGGAGCTTTAAGGTCCCTCCAACCCAAACCAGGCTGTGGCTCTATCCCAAGGCACTGCAGTGCTGGGCAGTGGCTGCAGAAGCCCCTGTGGGGGCTCCTTGGTGCACCAGGAGCTGCCCTGGTGGGTCCTGCCCTGCACCATGGGGAGGTTGTCTCCATCTGGACCTGCTCCAGATCTCCACCCTTGTGTCCCTGCAGGCCCTAAGGATGTCAGACGGGATCATGAGCAAAGCGGCCACCATGGAGATCCCCATCAGCAGCAATGGGGACACAGGCAGCCTGCCCGAGGACGACGGCCTGGAGCAGGTGGAGAGCTGGGATGTGCTGGGATTGCTGGATCCCCGGTGTGTTCCGTGCTCTCCCTCACCTCCTGCCTTTGCTCCAGGACCTGCAGCAGGTGATGGTGTCAGGGCCCAACCTCAATGAGACCAGCATCGTGTCGGGCGGCTACGGGGGCACAGCCGAGGGCATCATCCCCACCAGCACCATGAAAGGTACCGGGGGCCGGGGCTGCTGCCAGGGAGGGTGGGAAGGAGAGGTCCCACCACCGTTAGATGGGCTCGGCAGCGTGTCCCACCACGTGGTTCTGCCTCCATCCCAGGATGGCGGCTCCTGCTCCTTCCTCCCTGCTGGGTCTTTGTTTGCACCCTGGGGCTGCAGCTGGTGGTGCTGTGCCTGGGCCCTCAGCTCCTGCCTTTGTGCTGTGCAAGGCTCAGGTGTGTGCTCTCCATCCCTGGGTGGATGCGGGGCTCTGGAGCTGCACCATGGTACTGCCTGTGATGGTACCAGAGAACTGTGAGTGGCTCCTCCATGGTTCCAGGCCTGGTGCTCTCCACTTATTCCCTCTTCTCTTTGCTCAGGATGGGTTGGGGGTGCTCTGCATCAAGGCTGCAGGGGTCCTCCCTGCAGGGCACAGAGGCAGGAAGGTCAGGTTAAATGTAAGGAGGAAGCTCTTTGCTGTGGGGGTGCTGAGGCGCTGGCACAGGGTGCCCAGAGGAGCTGTGGCTGCCCCATCCCTGGCAGTGCTCAAGGCCAGGTTGGACACAGGGGCTTGGAGCAAGCTGCTCCAGTGGAAGGGGTCCCTGCCCGGGGCAGGGGTTGGGAATGGAGGAGCTTTGAGGTCTCTTCCAACCCAAACCAGGCTGGGATGTGCTGAGATGTGCAGGCAGATGTGCCACAGCCCTGATGCTCTGCAGACCCTGCACCCTAGCTGCAGTGCCGGGTGCTGCTGTGGCTCAGTGAGTCTGTGGTGCTGCCGGGCTGTGCCATGGTCCCTGTGTGCTCTGGTCTCCATCCCCATGGTCACTGTCCCTGTGTCACCGTGTGTCCTGGTCACTGTCCCTTTGTCACCGTGTGTCCTGGTCACTGTCCCTGTGTCTCCATCACTCCCGGCCCCTCCGGTGCTCGGCTCACCGGGTGCAGTGACACTGCCCGGGACCGTGCAGCCTGCAGCCATGTCCGAGTTCACATCGCACTCATTGCTGCTGTTGCTGTCCCTGCTGCCACCCTGTCCCCATCCCTGCCCGCCCCTGTCCCTGTCCCTGCTCTGTGCCCATCCCTGCCCTCTCCCCCCGTCCATCCTGTACCTACCCCGTGCTGTGCTCCCGCCTGCTGCCCACTCCCTTCCAGGCTGTCTTGTCCAGCCTCACGCAGCCCGAGGAGCATCCAGCGTGTGCCCCAGTGCAGCCGCTGCCCGCAGGATGGCCGACCCCGAGCAGGCTGCAGGTACCGCGGCCGGGCAGTCCTGGGTGATGCTGCTGCTGTGGCTCCAGGTCCTGGTGCCGGGGCTGAGGCTGCTGCTCCGGTGCCGAGGTGGGAGCTGGGCAGGGAGGAGCCCATGCGTGGCCTTCCCGTTGTGCCCCAGTGAGGATGAGGAGGGGCAGGATGATGCTGGGGGCAGCAGCAGGACCCAGGGGGGCTGGAGCAGAGGCTGTGCCCTGCATGAAGCCTCATGAGGAGCAGGTCCTTTGCTCGGTCACACTGGGAACGGGGCCGGAGCAGGCAGGGGGGTGCTGCTGCCCCACGAGGACTCTGTGCTTCTGCAGACCCGGTGCATGCGGAGCTGTCTCTGTTGCAGGCTCGGGGCTGCACCAGGCGCATCCCAGCCCCGCGGGTGGAGGGGAGGAGATCGTGCGTGGCATCGCTGTGGAGAAGTTTGACATTGTCAAGAAGTGGGGGATCAACACGTACAAGGTGAGCGCTCTGGAAGGACACAGCTGGGGTAGGCTGGGATGTAGCCAGGGGGATGAGGCTCAACAGGCAGAGTGCTGGTCCTGCACTCTGGACCACAGCCACCCCATGCAGTGCTGCAGGCATGGGGAAGAGTGGTTGGAAACTGCTCAGGGAAAGGACCTGGGGGTGCTGATTGATGGAGCTGAACAGGAGCAGCTTGTGCCCAGGCAGCCAGGAAGTCCCCAGCATCCTGGCCTGGATCAGCACCAGTGCAGCGGCAGGTCCAGAGAAGGGCAATGGAGCTGGTGCAGGGCCTGGAGCCCAAGGGTGATGGGGAAGGGCTGAGGGACCTGGGGGGTTCAGATGGAGAAGAGAAGGCTCAGGGGGGACCTGATGGCTGCCTCCAAGTGCCTGAGAGGAGGATGGAGCCAGGAGGGGCTGGGCTCTGCTCCCAAGGAGCAAGGGATGGGACAAGAGGAACCGGCCTCAAGCTGCACCAGGGCAGGGTTAGATGGAGCTGAGGGGCAATTCCTGCCCCAGAGGGTGCTCAGGCATTGGAACAGGCTGCCCAGGGCAGGGCTGCAGGCACCGGCCCTGCAAGGGTTCACACCCCCTCAGTGCCATGGGGCAGTGGCGGCCATGGGGCAGTGCTGGGAGCGGTTGCACTGGATGATGTTGAAGCTCTTTCCCGTACCTCCCGGGGTGCAGGAGGTTGCATTGGGGCAGCGCCTCCCCCCCGTCCAACCTCGCTCCTCCTGCAGTGCACGAAGCAGCTCATCTCGGAGCGGTTCGGCCGCGGCTCCCGCACGGTGGACCTGGAGCTGGAGACGCAGATCGAGCTGCTGCGGGAGACCAAGCGCAAGTACGAGAGCGTCCTGCAGCTGGCGCGGGCCCTCACCTCCCACTTCTACAGCCTGGTGCAGACGCAGCACGCGCTGGGGGACGCCTTCGCCGACCTCAGCCAGAAGTCACCAGAGCTACAGGTACCCGAGAGACCTGAGGCGCGTTCCCTGCTCTGCATCCCCTGCGCTGCATCCCCTGAGCCGCGTTCCCTGCTCTGCATCCCTTGCACAACATCCCCTGTGCTGCATCCCCTGAGCCGCGTTCCCTGCTCTGCATCCCCTGCACAACATCCCCTGTGCTGCATCCCCTGAGCCGCGTTCCCTGCTCTGCATCCCCTGCACAACATCCCCTGCGCCGCATCCCCTGTGCTGCATCCCCTGAGCCGCGTTCCCTGCTCTGCATCCCCTGCACAACATCCCCTGTGCTGCATCCCCTGAGCCGCGTTCCCTGCTCTGCATCCCCTGCACAACATCCCCTGTGCTGCATCCCCTGAGCCGCGTCCCTGCTCTGCATCCCCTGCACAACATCCCCTGTGCTGCATCCCCTGAGCCGCGTTCCCTGCTCTGCATCCCCTGCACAACATCCCCTGTGCTGCATCCCCTGAGCCGCGTTCCCTGCTCTGCATCCCCTGCACAACATCCCCTGTGCTGCATCCCCTGAGCCGCGTTCCCTGCTCTGCATCCCCTGCTCTGCATCCCCTGCACAACATCCCCTGCGCTGCATCCCCTGAGCCGCATCCCCTGAGCCGCATCCCCTGCGCTGCATCCCTTGCACAACATCCTGTGTGCTGCATCCTCTGAGCCCCATCCCCCTGCACCACATCTCCTGTGCTATCCACTGCGCTGCAGGTCCCCGTGAGCTGTGTGTCCCCATGAGCTGTGTGTCCCCGTGAGCTGCGGGTCCCCATGAGCTGCGGGACCCCATGAGCTGCAGGTCCTATGCATCACCCTGGGTGCATGAGGACGAGGGGGACAGTGGTGTTATCCATGAGCTGATCCTGGGCTCTTGGGTCCTGGTTCGTGCCGTGCCGGCCCCATGGATCCTGTCCTGCAGGAGGAGTTTGGGTATAACGCGGAGACGCAGAAGCTGCTCTGCAAGAACGGGGAGACCCTGCTGGGCGCCGTCAACTTCTTCGTGTCCAGCATCAACACACTGGTCAACAAGACCATGGAGGACACGCTCATGACGGTCAAGCAGTATGAGACAGCCAGGTAGGATGCAGCCGCAGCGCTGTGAGGCGCCCTGGGGCAGCTGATGGGCACAGCATGGCTCTGAGCCCCCCTCCCTGCAGGCTGGAGTACGACGCGTACCGCACGGACCTGGAGGAGCTGAGCATGGGCCCGCGGGATGCCGGCACCTTGAGCCGCCTGGATGCAGCCCAGAGCCACTTCCAGAGCCACAAGGACAAGTACGAGAAGCTGCGGGCGGATGTGGCCATCAAGCTCAAGTTCCTGGAGGAGAACAAGGTGGGGGCCTCCCCACGGCCTCGGGGGGGCCTTTGGGGTCTGGGGTTTTTGGGCCACTTTTGGTGGATTTTTTTTTGGAGGCTGCATTTTGGGGCTGCATTTGGGAGTCACCTTTAGGGGCTGCCTTTTAAGGGGTCTTTTGTTGGGGCTACCATTTGCTGCTGCCTTTTGGGGGATGGTTCTTGGGGGCTACCTGCTGGGGGTGGCTTTTTGAGGGTCTCCTTTTGGTAGCTGCCTTTTGGGGACAGTTTTGGGGGTCTTCTTTTGGGTTCTGTGCTTTGGAGCTGCCATTTGGGGGCTCCTTTTAGGTTCAGCGTTTTGGGGCTCTTTCTGGGGTTGCCATTTGGGGGCCTTTTTGGGACGCTCCTCTTTGGGTGCAGTCACTGGGGTTCCACCCTTTCTGAGTGGCTGTTTTGGGGGGGTCACCCTCCGGGAGCTGCGCTCTCGGGTGCACCGGCGGGCGCCGGCAGTGACCGCGGTTCCCCCGGCGGTGCCGCAGGTGAAGGTGATGCACAAGCAGCTCCTGCTCTTCCACAACGCCATCTCCGCCTACTTCGCGGGCAACCAGCAGCAGCTGGAGCAGACGCTCAGGCAGTTCAACATCAAGCTCAAGCCCCCGGGCGCAGAGAAGCCGTCGTGGCTGGAGGAGCAGTGAGCACGGACACAGATCGGGACGGGGCCCCAGGAGCCGCCGTGACCCCAGCCCAGGGACCCCCCCGGCCCAGGGACCCCCCCGCCGCGGCCGGGACACCCCAGAACCCCTCGGTCCCCCCTGCCCGGCGCAGGCGCGTCAGGGTCCAGGGAGGGGTGGTGCTGGGGGGCTCCAGGATCACCCCGTGCTCCCCTGGATGAGCCCTGTGAGCCCCAGGCCAGGCCCCTGCGTCCCCCCCAGCCTGTAGGGTGCCCCTGACCTCCCCCCGGGCACTGGTGGCTGCTCTGGGGGCACCCGGGCTCTGAAGGACCCACAGAAACATGCGTGTCCCCTTGTCACAGGACACACGCACACATCCCCTCAGCAGAACACACTGACACGCGTGTCCCCTCCCACAGGACATGTAGAAACACAGATGTCCCCTCCCTGCAGAACACACACACACATGCGTGTCCTTTCTGCAGGACACTGACACGCGTGTCCCCTCCCACAGGACATGCAGAAACACAGCTGTCCCCTCCCTGCAGAACACACACACACACGCGTGTCCTTTCTGCAGGACACTGACACGCGTGTCCCCTCCCACAGGACATGCAGAAACACAGATGTCCCCTCCCCGTAGAACACACACACACACACGTGTCCCCCTTCCCACAGGACATACAGGAACACGTGTCCCTCCGCAGAACACACACACACGCGTGTCCTTCTGCAGGACACACACCGTGTCCCCTCCCACAGGACATACAGAAACACATGTCCCCTCCCTGCAGAACACACACATGTCCTTTCTGCAGGACACTGACACACGCGTGTCCCCTCCCACAGGACATACAGAAACACAGCTGTCCCCTCCCTGCAGAACACACACACACACGCGTGTCCTTTCTGCAGGACACTGACACGCGTGTCCCCTCCCACAGGACATACAGAAACACAGCTGTCCCCTCCCTGCAGAACACACACACACACGCGTGTCCTTTCTGCAGGACACTGACACGCGTGTCCCCTCCCACAGGACATACAGAAACACAGCTGTCCCCTCCCGCAGAACACACACGCGTGTCCTTTCTGCAGGACACTGACACGCGTGTCCCCTCCCACAGGACATACAGAAACACAGCTGTCCCCTCCCTGCAGAACACACACACACACGCGTGTCCTTTCTGCAGGACACTGACACATGCGTGTCCCCTCCCACAGGACATACAGAAACACAGCTGTCCCCTCCCCGCAGAACACACACGCGTGTCCTTTCTGCAGGACACTGACACACGCGTGTCCCCTCCCACAGGACATACAGGAACACGTGTTCCTTCAGCGGGACACATAGAAACGAGCATGTCCCCTCTGCAGGACACACAGACATGTCTCCTCTCACCACAGGACACACAGAAACACCTATGTCCCCTCCCTGCAGGACACACACATGTCCCCCCTGCAGGACACACACACATGTGACATGCATGTTCCCCCCCTTCAGGACGCACACGTACATACAACACACGTGTCCCCTCCACGCCGGACACGCACATGACACACATCCCCCCACAGGACACACACGACACACATGTTCCCCCCGCAGGACATACACAACACACGACACACACACACACACACGTGTCCCCCCCACAGGACACACACACACACACACACACGTGTCCCCCCCGCAGGACACACGTGCACACATGTGTGTCCCCCCGCAGGACACAGGACCTGACTCGTGTCCCCTTGGCCCGGTGCTGGTGTCCCGGGGCCGCAGCGCCGGGGCCAGGCCGGGCAGGTCGGGCCGGGCTCTCCCGGCTGCACTTGGGCACTTTCTCCCGTGAGCCCCGCTCGGGTTCCCGCTGTTCCGCTCCGCCCCGGCCCAGCCTCTGACCCCCCAATAAACGGTACCGAGCAGCGAGTGGGGCTGGACGGGACCGGGCCGCTCCAGCCGTGGGGTTCCAGGGACGCGGGGCCCTGCGCTCCCACCGCCCCACCGCGGGGGCTGCAGCGCCGGCACAAGGACCCGTGCTTGGTCCTGGCTGCGCCCGGAGCCGGGCACCGGGGCTGCGCGCTCCTGACGTGGCCATGGCCGGCGCTGGACAATGGGGGCACCACTGGAGCTCTGTGAAGCGCTTGGCACCGTCCCTGCGGGTGACACCGGTTGGGTGGGAGCATGGAGCTGCTGGAGGGGAGGAGGCTCCACAGAGGGTCTGGATCGATGGGATGAGGCTCAGCAGGCAAAGTGCCGGGTCCTGCACCTGGGACACAGGCACCCTGTGCAACGCTGCAGGCTTGGGGGAGAGTGGCTGGAAACTGCTCATGGGAAAGGACCTGGGGATGCTGATTGACAGAGCTGAACATGAGCAGCTTGTGCCCAGGCAGCCCCCAGCATCCTGGCCTGGATCAGCACCAGTGCAGCAGCAGGGCCAGGGCAGGGATTGTGCCCCTGCACTGGGCACTGGTGAGGCCGCACCTCGGATCCTGTGCTCAGCTCTGGGCCCCTCACTGCAAGAGAGACATTGAGGGGCTGGAGCGGGGCCAGAGAAGGGAATGGAGCTGGTGCAGGGCCTGGAGCCCAAGGGTGATGGGGAAGGGCTGAGGGACCTGGGGGGTTCAGATGGAGAAGAGAAGGCTCAGGGGGGACCTGATGGCTGCCTCCAAGTGCCTGAGAGGAGGATGGAGCCAGGAGGGGCTGGGCTCTGCTCCCAAGGAACAAGGGATGGGACAAGAGGAACCGGCCTCAAGCTGCACCAGGGCAGGTTTAGATGGAGCTGAGGAGCAATTCCTGCCCCAGAGGGTGCTCAGGCATTGGAACAGGCTGCCCAGGGCAGGGCTGCAGGCACCGGCCCTGCAAGGGTTCACACCCTGTGGAGAATCACGGAACGGTTTGGCTCGGAAAGGATCCTGAGGTCACCCAGTTCCAACCCGCAGGAAGAAAATCGCCGCTTGTGCCGCGGGCCGGTTCTCAGGGGGCGCAGGGAGGGGGCGCAGGGAGGGAGGGGGCGCAGGGAGGGGGCACAGGGAGGGAGCTGCTCCGCTCCCTGCGAAGCCCTGGCCGGAGGCAGGCGCCCACCAAGGGCCGAGCGCCGGGCGCGGCAGGGGGGAGGCGGCTCCGCACCCGTCCGGGACCCCCGCGCCCCAGGGCGGCTCTCGCGAGCCCAGCGCGGCGGCGGCGGCGGCGCTGCGGTACCGGAGCGTGCGGGCCGGACGCTGACTCGGGGCCGTTCAGCCTCGGGCCGGTCCCCCTCAGCCAGGCGCACGCTGCAGGGCTCCGAACCCCTCCACTGAGCAGCGCTGCCAGTGCAGCGAGGCGCCATCGGTAGGGTAAAACTGACCTGTCTCACGACGGTCTAAACCCCGCTCGCGTCCCCTGTTAGTGGGTGAACAACCCCAACGCCTGGCGGATTCTGCTTCACCATGGTAGGAAGAGCCGACACCCAAGGATCAAAACGCGGCATCACCGTGAACCCTTGGCCGTCACAAGCCAGTTATCCCTGGGGTAACTTTTCTGACACCTCCCACTTCAAACCCCAAAAGCCAGCAGGATCTGAGGCCCCGCGTTCACCGTCCGTGTTCATACGGAAAGTAAAGACCAAGCGAGCTTCTGCCCCTCCGCGGTCGGTTTCCGTCCTTCCCGAGCTCGCCTCTGGAGCCCTGTGCTACGCTTTGGCAGCTGCACCGCCCCACTCAAACCCCTCACCTGCTGCTGTCCCCGGGGCGAGATCCCCCCTCGGGGCTCCCCCCCGACTCACAGGGCAAGAGTAGCCGAGGCCCTCGGTGCCATGGGTCAGTGCTGGCCCCGGCAGTGCTGGGAGCGGTTGCACTGGATGATGTTGAAGCTCTTTCCCAGCGCAGCTGATCCGAGGGTTCAGTTCCCGCACCCGTCGGGCTCCGGGGCTGGGTTGGGCTCCGGGTGGGTATCAGGATTAAACCCATCCCAGGGCGCAGCCGCTGCCCTGGCTCGGGGGGGTTGGTTCATTCCCACCGCCCTTTGCCGCTCCAGTTCCTGCTCCTGCAGCGCCGCTGGGACCGGCCCAGCCCGGCCGGGAGTGCGCGGGGGACAGCGGGGTTCGGGGTGTCCTTTGCGGGGGCAGAGCCTGCAGCGGGGCCGGAGCCGGGGCCAGCCGCGAGCGGGACAACGGGACGGGCTCAGCGCCCTCCGCCGTTACCCGCTGCCCGGGGCGGGGCCGGGGGCGGAGCTCCGCAGCCACAGGTGCCGTTGTCCCGTCCCGGCCATGGGCTCCCCGGTCCCGGCCATGGGCTCTCCGGTGCCGCCGCCGCCGCCGGTGCCGCCGCCGGTGCCGCCGCCCCCCCCCGCGCTGTCGCCGGGTGCGCGGCTGCGGGCGCTGCACTGGGAGCCGGTCCCCGCCTGGCGGGTGCGGGGCCGCCGCTCGGTCTGGGCCCCGCCGCCCGCTCCGCTCCCGCCGCTGGACCTGCCCCGGCTGCGGGCGCTGTTCCGGGAGCCCCGCGGGGCCGCCCCGGGGCAGCGCCCGGCGCCCGCGGTGAGACCCGAACCCTGCGCCCAGCGGGACCCTCCCGCCCCCGCCCTGACCCCCCCCTCCGCCCCCCCAGGCCGCGCTGCTGGAGCACAAGCGGAGCCTCGCCCTCGGCGTCTTCCTCAAGCAGCTCAAGCGGTGAGCGGAGACCCGGGCCCCCCCGCGCCCCCGGGGCCGGTCCGGGGCTCACCGGTGCCCAACGTCCCCCCAGCCCCGTCGAGCAGGTTGTGCGGGACATCGAGGAGGGCGTCGGGGCCCCCTATGGGGCAGAGAAGCTTCTGGAGCTGTCCCGGCTGCTGCCCAGCGCCGCGGAGGTGGGAGCAGGGGTACGCGGGGGGCGCGGGGCGGGGGGGTCCCGGTGCCGTACCCCCGAGCCTCTTCCCCGCCCGCAGGTCGCCCGGCTGAGAGCGCACCCCGGCAGCCCCCGGCAGCTCCCCGAGCCCGAGCGCTTCATGGTGCTGCTGACTCGGGTGCCCAGGTCGGGGGGACACATGGACGGGGGGGTCCCACACACGGGTGGGGGCCACTGCTTTCGGAGGGGGCGGTGCCACACACTGGGGAGAGGGTCCTACACAGCGGGGGTTGCCATGCACTGGGGGGATGAGGGATGGGGGGCGTCACTGGGGAGGACACACACTGCGGGGAGGGGGTCCCATTCATCAGAGGAGTCCCACACATTGGGGGGCTCCCATGAATTGGGGGTGGTTTCCAATGCATTGAGGGGGGTCCCACACCTCAGCGGTTCCCATGAGCTGGGGGGGGTCCCACGCTCTGGGTGTCCGTTCCCCCATCCCCGCCAGCTACGCCCAGCGCCTGGAGCTGCTGGTGCTGCAGGAGGAGTTCTCGCCCCGGCTCCGCGCCCTACGCGGCTCCATCCAGACCCTGGCGGCCGCCGGTGCCGGTGAGCGGCCCCGTGGGGCTGGGGGGCACGGGCTGCGCCCCCCCTCCGCTGCTCACTGCCCGCGGCTGCTGCCCCACAGAGCTGCTGGAGTGTGAGGAGCTGCACCGCATCCTGCACCTCATCCTGAGCGCCGGCAACCACCTGAACGCGGTGAGCGCGGGCGCGGGCGCTGCCCCGCTGCTGCCCTGAGGGGCTGCGCTCACCCGTCTGCCCCCAGGGCGGCTACGCCGGCAGCGCCGCCGGATTCCGCCTCGCCTCGCTGCTCAAGCTGCCGGACACCAAGGGCAACGAGCCCGGCATGGACCTGCTGCACTTCGTGGCCATGGTGAGCAGGCGGCGGCTGCCGAGGGGACCCGTGGGGCCCGGTGGGATCCTGGTGGCTCTTGCCCATGTCCTGCTCAAGGTCGCTCCCGCGGGATGCGCTGCCCGGTGCAGGGGAGGATGTTGTTTATCCAGCAGCTGAGGTCCAGCACAGCTCTTCCCATGCTCTGCCCACGGGGAGACGGTGCTGAGCCTTCCGCAGCAGTGCTGGCGTGACCTTGCCGGTCACCACTGTCACCATCACCCCAGCCCCTTGTGCCCCCTTCTCATGGAATCCCAGCCTGGTTTGGGTGGAAGGAACCTTAAAGCTCCTCCAGCCCCAACCCCTGCCCCGGGCAGGGACCCCTTCCACTGGAGCAGCTTGCTCCGAGCCCCTGTGTCCAACCTGGCCTTGAGCACTGCCAGGGATGGGGCAGCCACAGCTTCTCTGGGCACCCTGTGCCAGCGCCTCAGCACCCTCACAGGGAAGAGCTTCTGCCTAAGAGCTCAGCTCAGTCTCCCCTCGGGCAGGTTCAAGCCATTCCCCTTGGCCTGGCCCTACAGGCCCTTGTCCCAAGCCCCTCTCCAGCTTTCCTGCAGCCCCTTTATTCACTGGAGCTGCTCTAAGGCCCTTTGGGAGACCATCAATGCCCCTCAAGCCTGTTCCTGTCTCTCCCGGTGCGTCTCGGTTCAGCTCACTCCGCAGGGACGCGGGCGGTGTCACCCGCACCCTGTCCGCGGGCCGTGGCCCCCGGTGACGCTGCGGCCCCCCCCGCAGGAAGCGGCGCGGATGGACAGGACCCTGCTGGAGTTCCCGGAGAAGCTGCGCCACGTGGGCCTGGCGTCGCGGTGAGGGGCGGCCCCGCTGCAGCGGCCCCGGGGGCTGCGGTGCAGGGGGTGACCCGAGCCCTCTCCCCCCCCAGCATCGACGCGGCCGAGGTGGAGCGGGAGCTGCGGCGGCTCGCGGGGCGGCTCGCGGGGGCGCGCGGGCTGAGCGCGGCGGCGCCGTTCCTGCGCGCGGCCGAGGAGGAGCTGCGCGCGGCCTGGCGCGCGCTGGAGCAGCAGCAGCGCGCGGCCGCCGCCACGCTCGAGTTCTTCTGCGAGGAGGCGGCTGCGGGCGCGCTCCCGGCGCTCTGCTCCGTCCTGCACCGCTTCGCGCTCGCGCTGCGCGCGGCCGCGGGTGACAACGGCCGCCGTGAGCAGGCGCAGCGCCGGCGGCAGCAGCTGGAGCGCGGGAAGCGCCACTCCATCGCCTCCTGCTCCGCGCCCACCGACACCGGCCCCGCCGCCCAGCGCCGCCTCCCGCTCACCCCGCAGCCCCCGCGCCGCGGCTCCGAGCCCGCCCCGCGCCAGCAGGAACCGCCCGGCCCCGCGCCGCCGCCCCCGGCCGCTGCTGCCCCCGAGCCGCCCCCCTCGGGCCCGGGCCCGGCCGCCCCCCGCCAGGGCTGGGCCCTGCTGCGCCTCCTGCGGCGCCTGGCGGCGGGGCCGGGCCGCGGGGCGCCCCCCAGCTGAGCCCGCGCTGTTTCCCTGTCCCGTGTCCCCCCCCCCAGCGATTTGACAATAAACGATCAGACCAACCCGGGCTCCCGCATGGCCGGCGCCTCCCGCCCCTGGCCCCCGCGTACCCCCACAGCTATCACATCCCTTCCTGTCCCCCGCACAGCCGTGGCTCCTACGGGCACATCACCTCACATCGTGCCCCTTCCATCATGTCCCCCAGTGCTGACCCACGGCCATGTCCCCACCCCACCCGGCACCATGCCCTGTGTCGGTGCTGGTGGTTGCACGGGTGGATGCTGCAGGGTGCTGTAGGGCTGCTCATGGAGGAGGTCGGTGCCCCTGGGGGCCTTCTGTGGCTCCCCCAAGGGGACAGGGCAGGCTGGGCCCTGCCTCATTGGTACCATCCTCAACACCCCTGAGAATGGAGGATGTTGAACAGCTCCAGGGAACCTGCTCCAGCACTGCTGGGGTGGTTCTGAACTGAATCAGGGGATGGTTTCTGTTGGAACAGACTTGCCCCATGGCCAGAACACCTTCCAACAGCTCCACATCCCTCTTACGTTGAGGGCTTTAAAGTCTCTTTTAACCCAAACCATTCCATGAGATCCCAATTCCACTCCCAGCCCATTACTAGGCCCAGAAAACAGAGGCTGGAGCCCAGGCTGTGTCCCTCTGGGCAGATGCCACCTGGGCAGGGGCTACTTGCTGAGGCCAGTGCCTCCCGGGACTGCTGGCGCCATCCCACAGGAGCAGAGCTCGATGGGGTAGCGGGAGGAGGAGGCCCTGGTTACAGAAATAAATCGATATATTAGTGTGTACAAAACATGCTGCTGTCCCCCGCGGCCTCCACACATATAAATAACACCTGGGGGCTCAGGCAGGAGATGCCTGCGCGGGGCCCGCCCCACCGGCCCCGGCCCCGGCCCCGGCCCAGCCCGCGGGCCCCGGCCCCGGCCTGGCCTGCCCGGGCTCACTTGAGGTCCACATCGAAGTCCAGCACCAACAGCTTGGTCTCCTCGGTGCCGTTGCGGCTGCCCACGGCACAAACCAGCTTCGTGTTGGAGGCGCGGATGCGCCACACGACGCCGCCGCTGCCGCCGCTCTCCAGCGCCACCAGGTTGCGCACGAACTCGCCCGTCTTCAGGTCCCAGAGCTTGACGGTGCCGTCGTCCGAGCTGGTCACCACGAACTTGGAGCTGAACTGCAGGCAGGTCACGGCGCTCTGGTGCTTGCTGGGCCCTAGGAGCAGAGCGACTGCAGTCAGAAGCGCTGGGGTGGCAGGGACGGCTGGAGATCATCGGCTCCAACCCAGCCCAGGGCAGTGCCCAGAGCAGGGCACAGGAATGTGTCCATGGAGGGCTTGGGATGCCTGAGATGGAGACTCCACAAAGCCCCGTGCAGCCTGCGCCAGGGCTCTGCCACCCGTGGTGGAAGGAAGTTCTCCCTCACATTGTTCTTCCTCGTGTTTAGGGGAGATTGAGGTCAGATGTAAGGAAGCTCCTCCCTGTGAGGGTGCTGAGGCGCTGGCACAGGGTGCCCAGAGAAGCTGTGGCTGCCCCATCCCTGGCAGTGCTCAAGGCCAGGAGCAGCCTGCTCTTAGTGGAAGGTATTCCTGCCCATGGCAGGGATTGGAACTGGAGGAGCTTTAAGGTCCCCTCCAACACAAAGCAGTCTGGGATTCCAGGATTCATTCTATGAAACCTGTGTTTCAGTTCATGGCCATTGCTCCTCATCCTGTCACTGGGCACCACTGAAAAGAGTCTGGCATCACCTTCTTGGCACCCAGCTTTGAGGTGCTGATCTGCATTGATGAGATCCCCTCTCAGGCTGCTCTTCTCCAGACTCAATGGGCCCGGTTCTGGCAGTTTCTCACAGAACAGAATCTCAGAGTGGTTTGGGTTGAAGGGACCTTAAACTTCATCCAGTTCCAGCCCTGTCCCATGGGCAAGGACACCTTCCCCTAGAAGATAATCTCGCCTTTCAGTTCTGAGATGTCTCCTCATCAGAGATGCTCCAGACCCCAGCCCATCCTTGTAGCCTCCACTGGATGCCTTCCAGCAGCTCCTTGTCTTTCTTGTCCTGTGGAGCCCAGCACTGGACACAGGACTCCAGATGTGGCCTCACCAGCGTCAAGGAAAGGGGGAGGATCAGCTCCCTCAACCTGCTGCCACACTTCTGATGCACCCCTGGATGCATCCCTGTCTCTCCTGGCTCAAGGTCACACTGCTGCCTCATGGTTAGCTTCTCATCCATCAACTCTCTCAGGTCTCTCTCGGCTGAACTGCTCTCTAGCGGTCAGCCCCAGCCTGTGCTAGGACTTTGGGATCCCTCAGTTCCATGCTCCCACCACAACCCCATTGGGAACCCCATTGACAACCTCTGCCCTGCCCCACCTGGCAGCCACACGTGTCCCCAGCACGCAGCAGGAGGAGCTGCCCCGTTCCAGCACTCACCCTGCAGCGTCTGCAGGCACTGGCCTGTCTTGATGTCCCAGATCTTGACAGTGGAGTCGGCGTTGCCGGACACGAGGATGTTGTCCCGCAGCTCCATGCCGCTGGTGAGCGACTGGTGCCCCATGAGGGTGTGCAGACAGTTCCCGCTCTCCACGTCCCACACGCGGATGGATGTGTCCAGGGAGCCGCTCACAATGTGCGTCCCATCGAACTGCCCAGAGAGACACAGTCAGCATAGGCTGAGCCAGGGGAAGGGGCAAAACCAGCCTGAGCTCAGGGACAGGGCACAGCTGCTTGAGAGACACCCTTGTGTCCCCTGCAGCTAATCCAGGTGCACATGTGACTGGCAGCCTATTCAAAGAACCCAAGCCTGGGTTGGGCTGGAGAGAGCTCAAAGCTCCTCCATTCCCAACCCCTGCCACGGGCAGGGACCCCTTCCACTGGAGCAGCTTGCTCCAAGCCCCTGTGTCCAACCTGGCCTTGAGCACTGCCAGGGATGGGGCAGCCACAGCTTCTCTGGGCACCCTGTGCCAGCGCCTCAGCACCCTCACAGGGAAGAGCTTCTGCCTAAGAGCTCAGCTCAGGCTCCCCTCGGGCAGGTTCAAGCCATTCCCCTTGGCCTGGCCCTACAGGCCCTTGTCCCAAGCCCCTCTCCAGGTTCCCTGCAGCCCCTTTAGGCACTGGAGCTGCTCTCAGGTCTCCCCTTCAGGAGCCTTCTCTTCTCCAGGCTGCCCCAGCCCAGCTCTCTCAGCCTGGCTCCAGAGCAGAGCTGCTCCAGCCCTCGCAGCAGCTCCGTGCCCTCCTCTGGCCTCGCTCCAGCACCTCCAGGTCCCCTTTGTGCTGCTGCCCCAGAGCTGGAGCAGGGCTGCAGGGGGGGGTCTCTCCAGGGCACAGCAGAGGGGCAGGATCCCCTCCCTGAGCTGCTGCTCACGCTCTGCGGGTGCAGCCCAGCACACAGGGGGGGTTCTGGGCTCAAGTGCTCACTGAAGCCGGGTCATGGGGAGCTTCTCCTCACCCAGCACCCTAAGTCCTTCTCCTCAGGGTGTACCCCTGCAGTGCATGTGTGGTGTCAGGGAGCAGGGCAGAGGGCCTCCCCTGCAGGGATGAGACAAAACCCACGTGTCCCTGGGGCCACCAGTGGGAAGGACAGAGGCTCCAGGGTGTTACCTGCAGGGAGTAGACGCGGTTCGTGTGTCCCTGCAGCGTGTGGGTGCAGCTCTCGCTCTCAGGGTCCCACACCTTCACTGTGTAGTCGTAAGCGCCGCTCACCACCTTGTGCCCATCGTACTGCACGCAGCGCACGGCAGCCACGTGCCCCATGAGCACGTGCAGGCACTGCCCTGTCTCAATGTCCCACAGGCGCAGCGTCGCGTCCCGAGAGCCGCTCACCACCCTGTGGGCACGGACACGGAGCACAACCACATCTGACCTCGGGCGATGGAGACAACCCCGAGGAGCAGCTTTTCCTCCCGAGGGCAACCGCTTCCCACACAGCCACAGACCCATCTCTGTGCCCACAGCCCAGCCCAGCCCAGCCCCACATCACAGAGCTGGGGACTGGTTTGGGTTGGAGGGGCCTTAAAGCCCTCCCAGCAGAGCAGGCAGCTGTACCCCCCTTCCCGTACCTGTTGCCATGCAGGTGCATGCAGCGCACGGTAGACGTGTGCCCATAGAGCGTGTGCACGCACTCGCCCGTGTCCGCGTTCCACACTTTGAGGGTCCGGTCCGTGGAGCCGCTGATGACGACGCTGTCCCTCATCTGCGATGACCACACTCCACCGGTGTGACCCACCAGGGTCTGCACACACTGCGAGGGGCGGGATGGGGACACTGCCTTGGGAAAGGCTCCACGATGTGGCAAAGGAGCAGCAGAGCACAGGACACACCCCCCCCCCCGGCACAGCATCTGTGAGGTTCATCCCTCAGTGATCCACTCCCTGCACCAGACCCCACCAGAGTCCTCTCCATGACATGGTCCTCTGAACCCAGCTGGGTTTCCTGCCCTTCCTGCATCTCCAGGAAGAGGCTCCACACTTGCTGCCTTGAACTGAAAGCACAAGCGTAGCCAACTCTTGCTCATTTGGCACCGCACCATCAGACTGGTGGCTGAAGACAGCTCCTGCAGCCAGAGGCTCTGTCAGATCTCCTCAGAGACAGGAGAAATCATGGAACCAACCAGCCTGGGAAAGAGCTTCAACATCATCCAGTGCAACTGCTCCCAGCACTGCCAAGGCCACCACTGCCCCATGGCACTGAGGCCTCGTCTCCACAGGGTGTGAACCCTTGCAGGGCCGGTGCCTGCAGCCCTGCCCTGGGCAGCCTGTTCCAATGCCTGAGCACCCTCTGGGGCAGGAATTGCTCCTCAGCTCCATCTAACCCTGCCCTGGTGCAGCTTGAGGCCGGTTCCTCTTGTCCCATCCCTTGTTCCTTGGGAGCAGAGCCCAGCCCCTCCTGGCTCCATCCTCCTCTCAGGCACTTGGAGGCAGCCATCAGGTCCCCCCTGAGCCTTCTCTTCTCCATCTGAACCCCCCAGGTCCCTCAGCCCTTCCCCATCTCCCC